GAACTGAACCTTTTATTTCACTCACTGGGTAGACTGTTCTAGTTCCACATGCCATGTTTAATGGATGTCAGTTATCAGTTATCTCCTGTTAATTCCCCTCTCCAAGTTCTCCACTGTCTGAACCGGCACAGTGCATAAAATGCGTTGGTTATGTTTTCAGGAAATAAGAAGCAGTTTGAAAAAAAAAACAAACATTCACATTTTCCAAGGAGTCCTATTTAAGTAATCATTCTTTTCATCTTGCTATTGTTTTTTTTTTATTTCTTTCAGGGAAATGTTGGAGGTACTTATATTTAATTATGAAAGTGTTCACTAAATTCCCACCTACCGTTACTTATTGTTTTATTTCAACACCACCATTAACATAATCATCTGTTCCATGACTATGTGTGGCTGTACGATTGCTGTGTAATTGATCATCTGGCCATTTCCCTTCAAATCCATGGGTTGAATGTTTACCAGCTATCCGTCACATGGCTCAGGCATATTGATAAGTCGGACCCCATTCTTCTACGTCTCACACCACAGGAGATGTCCTACATTGTGCAGGTTTGTTTTGGTCACGGGAACATGACCGTTGCCATCGGTGAGAGTGTTGGTGGCTGATTATTGAATTTAACAAGAGTTATGCCTCCGCCCAGCAATGGCGTGTCACCGAAGCATTGACTGTATACATATCTACGGAGCCCAACCTACCATCTGTGCTAGATGGTGGTTGACCCTACCTGAAGTTTCACCTACGCCTTGACAGGCGCTATTTTTAATCCTGTTGGTTGTTTACTTACTTGCCTCACTAGACAACCTGAGGGGTGAACATGTTTAGTCTCTAATGACTCGAGTATGCGGGTTATGTTATTAGATTACAAATTACCTGTAGAACTAATAGTGTTACCTGATATTTCGCCTTATTGGCAAATGCATAAATTGTTAATTTATCCGCGATTACCTACAAATAAGACAATGGATTCATATCTTGGGTTAGTTTAGACAAAACGGCAGATCTTTCCCAAGATTCTGAAATATATAAAAACACTTTACGGCGCAGGACCCGATATCAGATTTTCTTCACAGTTTTTATACTACTATTTTAAGAAGGTTGATATACTAGGTGGTAAGACAAGGTCGGTTTAATACGTGTGATTGGAATAAGACTACTTTCTAAATCTGACAATTGCTGTATATTACGGGATATACAGAGTAAGATAATTGTGCTTCATTTCCTATTTATAATTGAGTAAATATGCACACCTGCATAAGTACAAAATCTCGTTCTATTTATGATATTTTTAGTGAAATAAGTATTTCTTTAGTTTTTTTTAAAGATTGTGAATGATATCAACCAGCCTAGATCGAAACGTCCCACTAAAGAAAAAATGTATCTCCTGACTGGGAAATATTGTGTGACTTCTTGATTGATATTAACTTAATTGCTTAAGAAAAGAAAAAAACAATAAGCATAGCTAATCAAACATTCTACATCGAGTGGCTTCCGGGCTTTTGTGCAGGTGGATCCTTGCTGTATGAAATAAAACCTACTTTCTACCAAGAGGCTTTTGAGCTTCAAACGATATCTACTGCTCAGATGAGTATCAGTAAAGTTAGAAATATATTTTCTGTGTACGGTTTGTCCAAAATCCTCTGTAGCAAGGAACATATTTCATCAACATCTTCTTCTTCTTCTTCTTCTTCTTCTTCTTCTTCTTCTTCTTCTTCTTCTTATTCGTGATGCGTCTATTCTGGACGTGTGCGATCATGACTCTCCACAATTTCTTCTTTGTAGCTCTGAGTAAGTGTTGTCACTTTATCATTTCCATTCCAATATATCTTTCTTCATTATGGGTCTTAAAAATTTCACATGTCTCATTCTGATTTTAAATATCGGAGATGTTTTGTGTTCATTTTCTTCTTCTGGAAACTTTTACTTATGGCCATCGTCAGATCATTGTACTCTGAGAATCCGTCTATCATATCTATCATGTCTCAAGTCTCGTTTTCATCTTGTGATCAGATTGTCCAGGATTCACTGCCATATAGGTGGAATGATACCACACAGCAGTCCATCATTGATTTTATTTCAGATGAATTTGTTTTCGATTTCTAAATACTTTCCTTAACACTTTGCAATTCATCTTTTGTTATTTCAATGTGACTTCATGTTTCGGTGTTGCATCATTTTTCTTCTCTTAAAATATTTCTCAGATATTTAAGTTTCCATACTTGATATTGGCAACTCTAATTCTTAGTTCGTTTCTTCGATTGTTTCTCATGTTACATATTTTCTTACAGTTGTTGTTTACTCCATTCTTGTCCCTTTATTTTCTTACATCCTGTCGGATTAACTACAGATTTCTTTATGTCTGTCATCAATTCTGTGTCATTAGAAAATTTATTTGAGGTTCACCTTATATCCATCAATGACAAATCATTTTATGTCTTTAATCCCATGGGGATCATCTCGTTGTAATATTCGAAAGATTTGACGAGAATGCCAATAACTGTATGTAATTGTATGTCCTTCTCTGATTCTGCATATTAAATACATGTTTGACTGTGAAATGACCAGAGATAAATACATAGAGAAACATTATATATAATGAATCAATTACTACGTCTCCTACTGAGAAATTTGGTTCGTGCTAGTAATTATTCTCCCCAGAATCTATTTTACATAATTTATACTTGAGTAAATATGCGCACCTGCGTACGTAGAATGTTTCTTTCTATTTATGATATTTGTATTGAAATAAGTATTTCTTTATTTTCTTAAAGATTGAAAATAATATCAACCAGCCTAGATCGAAACGTCCCACTAAAGAAATGACTTAAATATTGCTTAATGCCTTAAATATTGCTTCCACATATTGGGCTGATACTCCCGCTGTACATTTAGAGATTCTTCATAAAACCCGAAGAAGTATCTGCAAAGTTATTGGTCCTGACATGGCAACTCACCATCGATCTCTTTCTCATCGTTTCCTGTGCCTTTTCTTTCTATAAATGTTTTCATGGTAATTGTTTTGATGAACTTTTTCCTGTGCTACCAAGACCACACGAATTTAACCGCAGTTCTAGATTGCCAGCAATTTCTCATTATTTTACAGATGAAATGGTTAGACGTAACAGCAATTTCAATGATAAAAGTTTCTTCTATCGCATTTCTCACCAGTAGAACTCACTTTCAACTTCTTGCTTCCACGTCAAATTTGATCTTCAATAAATCAAATGCAATGTCGATCGTTATCTTCTGTTTTCTTCATTCTTGTCCTTGTATATACTCTGTAATCTCTTATATTTATATAGGATATATATATATATATATATATATATATATATATATATGTTTGTAAGTGTGTGTGTGTATGTATGTAGAGAGAGAGAGAAAAAGAGAATGTGTCTGAATTTATTATGTAAATCAAATAAACCACAATATCTCAAAAACGTTTGACCAAATATCTGTCAAATTTAAACTCGTCGCTTCGTAAAATATTTACGTATTTTTTCTGAAATTTTTAATGGTTATTTTTTGAGATAACTGAAATTTACGAAAATGAACGAACTGAAGTTAATATATAGATTAAACTAATACCAGCTTAAAATCTCTGGAATCTAATATATATTTTTTCCTTTTTGTCTATATGTTGTACATGGTTAAATGAAAGGGTCTAGCAACTGCTGAAAAACAGAAAGTAACAAATTACTGAATGAGGGAATGTCCACCTTAGAAACATTAATGGGAATTTGCAGAGATCATCTAACGATAATGATAAGTTGAGAATTGGAAGCAAAGGAAAAGGCTTCAAGAATTTGCTTCCTCGAGATGAACGTAAACCAAAGCGAATCGTAGAAAACAACCACTCTTCACCAGTGCTCAGATCGTTGAAAAGGCTGGAATTGATGGAGTTAAGAATGACAAAATATGTAGAATACTTTGTGAATTGGTTTCAGTAAAAAAATCTAGACAAATACCTGTCACTAAACAAATATTTCAAATCGTCAAAATTGGACCAAGAAATACAGGAAAATTGACTTTTCTAAAATAATTTTCGCGGACAACCCTTAGGTGACGTTCGATAGACCTGATGAATGGGCCAAAGAATATCCAATTCAGATCTGCCTGTAGCTAAAAGAAAGCAACAAGGAGGGTGTAATGTTATATGGGCCGGAATTGTCAGCGAAACCATTATTGGACCATTGAAAATCGATGAAAGTGTTCAACTGAACAGTGATAACTATTGTGATTTCATGAACAAGACATTTTTTTGCATGGTACAAGTCCCAGTCTCGCAGTTTCAATGTGAAGTGTGTATTTTTGCAAGACAATGCTCCTTCTCCTCTATCTAGGCCCGCTCGTGAATTCCTTGAGAAGAGACGATAATGAAATGGCCACCATAAGTCTTGATCTGAATCCGATTGAAATTCTATGGTCAGATGTGAAGATGAAATTATATGAAAGTTGAAAGAATTATAACAGCAAAGCAGACCTATGGGAAGTAATTAAAAATACTATGTAGGAAACTGAAATCGCTGATGTAAATGCACTTACAAAATCAATGGACAACAGTTTAATGGCTGTTATTGAAGAAGGGACACTATATTAATATTCAAAGGATTCAAAGACTTATCATATGAAATTTATTTGTTCTAGTATAGATGTGGCTCAATTTTTGATGATTTTATTACCTTTTTATTGAAATAAAATGACATTGTTTTGCCTAATAGTTTCAGACAACTTCCATAAGTTCAATAAAATATATTGATAATACATAAATTTTAAGTCAGGCTTTGCTCTGACCTCTAAATTCATTGTTTAAAATTTGACACTTTTTTAAAAAATAAATTTGAATTGTTGAAGTTTATATGATTTGCTTAATAACTTCAGACAGAGTGTGAGTGTGTACACACACACACACACATATATATATATATATATATATATATATATATATATATGGGGGGGGGGGAATGAGCATAAGAGACGAAAATAGCGACACTATATATCTCTATGTGTGAGAGAGAAATGTTCCTATAGATACAATGAGATAATAAATGTGCGCGAGTCTGTAGGTGTAATCTTGCACAAAAACGGAGAAAAAAAAATGCCTCTATAGGATTTACCACAAACTATCCTTGAAAACAGTTTAGTCGTGTGATATTGGCAGATTGCAAAATAATTTCGGACAAGATTTCATGCCTAATTAGATAGACATATGTCTCCACAAACAACATAAGACAGATGTACTCAGAAGTGTTACTGGAATAAAAATTTAAAAAAAACAAATAAAAAAAAAATTTTAAAAAAATGAAATACCTTAAATGAATAAATTCTGAGAAATTGCGAAGGGAAACAGCTATGAAAGAAAGAAAGAATGAAAGAAAGAATGAAAGAAAGAAAGAAAGAAAGAATGAAAGAAAGAATGAAAGAAAGAAAGAAAGAAAGAAAATGAATGAAAGAATGAAAGAAAGAAAGAAAGAAAGAAAGAAAGAAAGAAAGAAAGAAAGAAAGAAAGAAAGAAAAAGTACCACATGATAGCAGAATGAGATTTAAAATTAAAAATAAATAATTAAATAAGAAAATCAGAAAGAGATGTAAAGGACGGTGTATACAAACTGGCAGGAAGGAAGCTAGGGGTGGGGGAGAAAGGAAAGAAGAAAGTAAATAAAGAAGGCATGAAACAAGGAAAGGTTAAGTGAAAATGAAGGAAAATAAATTTTAAAAGATGCAATGAAAGAAAACGAAAAAGAAATTGACTGAAAGTAAAAGAATGAGATAACGAGGACAGAAAGAAAGAAAATAAGAGGAAATAAAGAAAGAAAGGAAAGAAGATGGGTAAAAGAAATGAGGAATAATGATTGAAGAAGTAAAAATTATAAAACAATAGGAAATATAAATGAGGGCGTGGAGCGTGGGCGGAAATAATAATAAAAAAAAAGATTCCAAAGAAAGAAGGGGCAAAAAAAAGAAAAGATGCAATTTAAATGAGAAAGAATAATAAAAGTAAATTGAAAGCAATGTATAGAGATATCAAAAAGAATAATTGGAGAAAATGAAAAGAATGTCGGTCAAATTAAATAATGAAAGAAGAAAGGAAAATGTGGCAGGCAAGGAAAAATAGAAAGGAATATTCCTCTATTTAATTATATTTCAGAAAATGGGCAATCATGGCGCTCCACAATGTCCTGTCCCTTGTAGCTCTTATTAACTGTTGTCTTTGAACAGGATATAAAAGATGTAATATCGGTTTCAATTTTTATTTTCTCTTTTTAAATTCATCAGAAAGAATATAAGAAATTTAAATAAAGTATATTCTAAACGAACCTGAAATTAAATAAAAATAAGTAAAGTAAGGAATGGAGAAAGGAAGATATGAATGAAAACGAAAAGTAAAGGAGAGATGGAATTTAAAATACGTAAGAAAAATAAATGGAAATATAAAAGAAGCTACTGAGGAAGAAAAAACGAAAATATAAGTATGAAAGAAGAAAGGAAAGCAGGAAAGGAGGAGAGGGTCGACATAATATAAGATTAAATGAATGAAGAAAATTTGATGTATATAAGAAAATAGATTGAAATATCTGTCTGCAAAGATTATAAAAAAAGCATGAGAGGTATTCTAAAAAAATTAAATTCGATGCGAAATAAAAGAATCCGGAAACAGGAAAAATTTGAAGAAATGCAAAAACGGGGAAAATGTGCCCTACACGAAGCAACAAGAGAAATTATGAAAAAAATAAACAATGTAATAACAAATTAAGCTATAAAAGAATGAAAATTTTTACAAATATATACATTAATGTTTTCACCAGAGCTAAACGGAGACAACAATGTCCTCTTGGCATAGAATAGAAAGATAAGAGATATAAGCGTATACTTCATATGTTAAGCAATACAGTTATTATAATTAAAGTTTTTAAATTCATATATGTTGGAGATTTTCTTGATACTTTGAGAAAAAAAGATAATACTTCAAAAAGGCTATTTAAAGTTTTAACTTTATTTAATGATAAATTTATATGGGAAATCAACCATGGCGTGCTTATCTACCCCCTAAATATGCTATTTCTATAGAAACAAGACATTTTATAGGAAAAAACATTTCATTAACACCTACGCTCTAGTAGACGTACTTAAATGTCTCCTAAAAATTAACATTGCCTGTAGTCAACTGATCATATATGTTTTCCTGATGCCTTCAAGTGCGGGTCCCTACTTATAAAGTTAATTACTAGTGTTTAGTAATATTTCAAAACAAGTGTGGACATATAGAAGCTTAGAATAAAACCAGATTTCTAACGGACTTTTATAATATTGTATGTTAGGGTTTCGCTTAACATAGTAGCCATTGCCGAATGCCCTATCAATAGTAAATGTGATCATTGCTTACACAAGAAACACAGAGACACACACACAAACGTCTCTTTTCTCTCTCTCTCTCTCTCTCTCTCTCTCTCTCTATATATATATATATATATATATATATATATATATATATATATATATATATATATATATATGAAGCAAAGTGCTCTAGCAGGAAAGGCAAAAAGTATAACTTATGTCTTTCTGAAAAATGAATAATCCTGAAAAATATAAACAATCCCAATCTCTTAAACCAAAGAAGTGAGTTAATTACACCTGCCTACAGAGAACCAAATGTTTGCTCAAACACTTTGACCCAGATTAATTTTATTTATTTTTATCAAGAGTTTTACAATTTAATATCCTGGCTAAATAAATATTGATAATATTAGATTGTAACACATTTAACAGTTTTGCTAATCCATTATTTCTTTTATCTTAATATTACCATTTTTAATAATTGAATATTATTATAGTTTTTTTTACCCTTGATCTCATTCGAAGAAACGTGTATATTTAATTCTCTGTTTGTGTTAATTATTTATATTTATTTTTTAATTAATGTTTCATTTGCCCTATTTATTCATTTACACACACACACGCATATATATATATATATATATATATATATATATATATATATATATATATATATATATATGTATATATATTCTAATATATGGCTCTTATTTCATTTTAATTTTCTTTATCATATTTTTCATTTATACTTTACTTTCATTGATATGTATTATTTTTTATGATTTCTTTAATATTATTTTATCACGGCATATTTTATTATTATTTATTTTACTACTTTTAATTAGTTTAGTAATATTAATATTAATAATATTATTAATTATATTATTGATTTTCATGGAAAAAAATTAGGCTAGCCCCCCCCCTTGGTTTTCTAATATTTCTTCTTGTTTATTACTTCAAATAAGACTTTCTAATTCTTATTTCTAACCTCATATTCAATCTAAAATGTTAATGTGGACCTAAATTAAAATTCAAAATTAAATTACAATTCATTTAAATACTTTGAAAACTTTAATAGTTGTATTTCGCGATAACCTGGCGTATTTAGAACGGTGTTAACCTAAAATAAAAATACCAAAAACTTGAAAATTTCCTCAGCAAGAAAATAAGAAAAATATATATATATATATATATATATATATATATATATATATATGATAAAATATAATTTTAATGTATGCTATATTTATAGGTTAAAGTGATCAATATCAGGGATAGAACGTATTTAAATATAAAAGTGGACATTAAATTCAACACCCAATGGCGACAGTCTGTTTCATGCTAAACACAATCGTCAGGTTCTGTGCCTTGTGTGCTTACTCGACTTTTTATATATACAGGTAAGTTATGCATTGTTGGCATTCTATTCCATTGCGGGTAGTCTATTGTATTATTCTTACTTTTTTGGTGGGTGTTGTTTGTTAATTTTTTCTTAGTATTTACTTCGTTTATTTACTTATTGATTTGGATTATTATTTTTTTATTTTATTCTATTTAATTATTTTCATTTATTCTTTTCAGTTTTTGATTTTTAAGTAACGTAATGAAAAAATGTTTTCCTGTCTGGATTTTGTGAAGAGTTCTGATTGTTTATTTAGTAGTTTGTTTTAACCTGGAAAATTAATTATAGCTATTTTTCTCCAAGCAGAGTTTACAATTTTTGAATTGATTGTTGTAAATTGATGCTTTTTGCTTATTTTCCATGATGGCGTGATTTGTTTTTGTTTCCTGTTTTTAATAGTTTAGAAAGCATTCTGCTATTCTGGTACGTACTATTTGTAATGGACGTTGTGCGTGTGTATCTTCTTCATTTCCAGGGACTTTCACTTACTCCTATGTATATTTTTTCATTATCTGCTGATTTTACTGTGCCTTGGTATATTACAAATTTTTCGTAATTTTTATTATTTGTCATATTCTCGGTGTACCTGTTTTACTAAATATATTTCTGAGATGAGGTATCATGTACAATATTTACATAATTCGGACTATTGATCTCATTCTTGTTGCCATATTCATCACAACGTTTCCGCCGTTGTACGCTCAGTCCTTCTTCAGGTAGTTGGAATGCCTAACTAAACACTTTATTTCGCTCACTAGGCTAGACTGTTCTATTTCCACGTGCCATGTATAATGGATGTCAGTTATCAGTTTTCTGCTGTTAATTCACCACTCCAATTTCTGCACTGCCTTAACCCAGTATTGAACTCACAACTCTTTGGGTCCTGTCACTGAATCTAACCAACACCTTTATCCACTGTGCCATTAAGAATTCTGTGTATGAATAAAATTAATGTCTTCACCCACAATTTTTACCAGCGCTCATATTGCAATTTTTGCTGTTATCATTGCATGCTGTTCAGCAGAGATCATATTGAATTTTTTGTTGTTATTGTTGCTTCTGGCACTTCTTATTATTGGTTCCCATATTGTATTCATTTATATTCATTCTCTGACACTCCTTATTACTGTTTCCGATATTGTATTCATTTATATGCTTCGTCGGCTCAGGTGATTTTTTGTGGCCTAGCATATGTGCTGACTCCTTAGGTTTACGAATTTTCTAATGATGTTTTTTGTCTACGATTTCAACCTGATCCCACAAAGGGCAGTGATCTCCTTTTTCTCTCCATTTGTGGTCTACGTAAGGTAAGGTTTCAAGAACACAAAAAACTGTAACACGAGGCGAAATGGAAAAATCAGGCGTGGCTGACGACAAAATTCGTCAAAATCTGGTCAAAATCCCAGAAATACATACACAGATATCCTCAAGGACACATGGCACAGTGGATAAAGGCGTTAGTTAGATCCAGTGACAGAAGGCAAAGAGTGTGAGTTCAATACCTGGTTAAAACGGTGTCGAACTTGGAGAGGGGAATTACTAGGAGATAACTAATAACTGACATTCATTAGACATGTCACGTGGAACTAGAACACTCTCCTCCAGCGAGCGAAATAAAGGGCTCAGTTCGAAATTCCAACCACCTGTAGATGGGCGAAACGTTGTGATAAATATGGCAACATAGATGAAGAGAATAGTCCGAATAATGTAAATTGTGTGTTATTACTGAGGTTTTTCTTGAAAATGCTGTGGAGAGTGCTTAATGGGGTGGGGGAGCTTTATGTATGAGCTTAATAAACGTTTTTCTTACGTTTGTTTTTAATGTACTGTCGGTTAAACCATATGATATTTCTCTTCCTGTTGGCCTTCATGCGCTCTGTGTATGTGAGTGTTACCCGGAATCCATATCTTTTAGGGCTGTTTCATAGTCTTCCTTAGATTCATTAAATAAGGTGTAACTGGAAGAATTGTCGGAAAACCTGCGCTTAATTGATTGTGCTATTTCCTTGATTATAGATGGTGTGTTGTTAGAAGATTTGTGTATATACAGTGGTTTATCATTATATGGTTTATATGTACATTTTCTTAGGTTGAATGTGACATCTAGAAACATTACTTTATTAATGTTAGTTTTATTGTCTATGTCGAATCCCATATTATTTATGATTGTTTTCCTAATTTTGTGTTTTGTCTGTTATAGTTACTTACGATTATGAGACCCTCATCCCTGTAGAGTCCTGTGTAATTGTTATCGATTATTTTCCTTAGTTCATGTAATAAATATATAGCTATGAGTTCGCAGGGAATTGCACCGTCAATGCTTCCCATTGTAGTGTAAATGATCCCTTCTTTCTTTATCCATGACTTTTCATTGTGCAATATTAGTAATTTCCTGGAGTGTTTAATCATTTGTTTTTATTTGTGCTTATTTTTATTAGTTCTTGAACTAGAGAGATGGCCTTATCTATCATGGGGTTTGTTAAATAAGGTTAAAATTATTTTATATCTAGTTGTATAAAATGGCAATTATGTTCCAGAACCATTCTATAGTTGTTTTTATCGTGTTTCTCAACTGATTACACCTAACTTCTTCTTTAGCTCTGAATGAAGTCTTTCTAATATGGTTTTACTTATTTTACCTAGGTCACTGTTCGTTTACTTTATATGCCTTCACGTTGGGTTGGTTCTGAAAATTTCTTTATTGACTTTGAGTGTCATAGTTGCAATATTCGATCATCTAAGTCTAATTTTTGGGAGATTCTTTTATCTTCCTTATTGATATCGTCTTCTGTTGTTATGGGGCTTTTTTATATTTTAGTTATGTTGTCCTTGAGTAATCTGCTGAACTTAATGCAGGGGAGGGCTTAGTTCAATAAATTTCTAGTTGTTTTTTTTCCAATGCGATAAATACGTTAGTTGAATTTTTATTTGAGTTAAATTTTCTTTTATTTATATATGTTTTTGAAGGTATCTTTTTATTTATGCAATTACTGGTTTCTTATTAAGTTTGTTAAGTCTTTCTCGAATTCTCGTCTAGATTTTTGTGTTGTGGGGGGGCGTGTTTTGCTTTAAAGCTGAATTCTTCCGCCAGTGTCGTATTTGTGTTAATTTCTTGGCTTGAAAAAAAAAATGTGCT